CTGAATCGCTCCGAAACACGATCAACCATGAGAACCAGCGAAACTTTTGCAAATGTTCAACAATGGGCGCGGCGCGAAGGTGGGAACCAATTTGTGAAAACGAACCGCCCTCAATACGTGAAACTATTGCGAATATGTTAAACAAAATCGTTTTGCGATAAGGCGAGAGCCACAATTTGAAAACGGACCGCGTTCAATCCGTGAAAGTATTGCAACTGTTTCAAGCAAGTGCGCGCGGCGCTAACGCGAAGGCCATAGGTTGAAAATCACCCACCTTCAATCCGTCAAATTCTTGCACATGTTTGAACCGAACGCGCGCAACGCCAAGGCGAGACACACATGTTGAAAACCACCCGCCCTCAATCCGTGAAAGTCTTGCAAATGTTTGCAGAGAATGTGCGCGGCGCTAAAGTGAGAGCCACATGTTGAAAACGGCCCGCCCTCAATCCGTGAAACTCCTGCAGTGGCTTTAACGAATATGCGTGGCGCTAAAGCGAAAGCCGCATTTTGCAAATGGCGCGCCCTCCATCTGCGAATTGTGATCAACGTTTAAGCATCGGGGTCATCAGTGGTGAGGAGATCTCAGGCGGAACGACCGGCCCGCCCTTGCGACTGGCCGCGGGCTGCGACAGGGAGGAGTATCTATATGGAAAACGAGGAGGAGCAGGATGAGGAGGAGGAGGAGGAGGAGGAGGAGGAGGAGGAGGAGGATGGGCCGGGGGAGCGAGAAGAAGGAGCGAGGAGGAGGAGGAAAAGGAGGAAAAGGAGGAAAAGGAAGAGAAGGACGAGGGAAAAGAGGGAGGAGGAGGAGACACGGCCGACCAGTCGCGCAACTGACTGACAGGAGCACGGGCCCACCCATGAGAAAATTAGGTCAGGACCATACCCGTTTAGGGTCCTTCCCAGCCCTGATGGCTGAGATGATATTCATCTGCCTGGATCGGGTGGGCCCGTGCTGAGATGGGCCCACACAGGCCGCCGCGCCAAGCCTACAGTTCGCGACCTTCCCAGAAGACAGTTGATAGGAGCCGCAGAGGGTGAAGACCATGCACCGGTGGGTCACCAACACCCGGTGCCCGTTGAGCTCGACGATAGTTTCAGCAGGCGGCACTGACTGATTCGCGCCGATGGGATCTTCAGCTCCTCCCCTGCTAGACGCCTCGAGGGCCACGCGCACCGCCCCCGACTGCATCGGTGGCGGGCGCTGCAGCTCAGGCGTCATTCGAGCTGTCAGCCTCTGCAGGGCCGTGGGCTCACAGGAGGTCGAGGATCCTGCTAGGACTCGCTTTGGTCCTAGCCACCCCAAGACAGGACTTGCATTGGAAAACCCCAGGCTCACGCACAAGAATTCCATTGGCCGTGAGCCCTATAGGCCAGACGGGGGCAGGGGCTCTCACTAATCCACTTGGCCGCTCAGTCAGTGAGCCCCTTTACGCCATCTTGCACACAACCCAAGACATCATCCTGGCCTGCATTTTAGCATCACTAATGGCGGACTCGAGCGACAATTCCAGCGTCTCCGAAGGATCATGACAACGCACACCCCATTCAGCAAACCTGTCGGCCCATGCATTGCCAAAAAAAATACCCCCAAAGATGCTGGTCCTGCTCGATTAACTGCTGCGCCGTTTTGTGAGCAGGGCACCCGTAAAATTTGGGAGGGCGCTTATTCATGCAACTCACCGTCGAAAAAATGCCTCCACAGGTCGGCGTACTAGGCGTCCGTTTTCTGCAGGGCATTCCTCCAGCCCGCGCCTTCTTTGACGAGGCTGAACAAGTCTGACACGACAAGCCTGACATCGCGCAGCAGCTTCAAGGCAAAGAAAAAAAGCAGCTTTTTCTGCCCGTCCTACCGTCTGCCACGGCCCCTCTAAGGGCCCATGCGCACCTGACAGGAAGCCCAGAATCTCCCAAGCATACGAATCCCCATTCACACCTGGTGATTTCAGGAAGTCCAGGAGCGAGGCCAGACCCGTCCGTGAAGACCACTGAGGTTCAACTGTTCCGATCAGACTCCCAGTCGCCCCAGTGGTGGACCTCGAGCCCGTCGGAGACCTTAGGGGGCACCACAGGGTACATAGGCATACACATGATGCAATCAAACCTGCCCCAATCAGGAGGTCCCAGAACTGGTACACCACGATCCCTTAGGTATTCATAACATGCATTACGCTTGGGATCCAATATCAAAGCATCAGCATGACAGACTTCATACAATACATTGCAGTCATATACACAGTGACCAAGAGAAGACCGTTCATCAGGACACCAGTGACATAGCGGCGATATGTTATATCCTGCCTGGTTTTGCCCGACTCGAGTCCAGAACCCACCCAACCAAAGCGTCCTGAGGGTTCCCGAAAATCTTGAACTTCTCATGGCAGCCTTGGGCCCACCAATACACATGCGAAGCGCACGAATCCATATGGCCCCGTGTCCATAGCAGATGTCTTGATGGTGGGCCAGGATCTGTCTGGCCTGCCAGCGCCCCACACCTTGTCGGGCAAACTCAATGACAGTCTTGGGCGGCAGGCGCAGAAGGTCGCATGAATAGCCCTAGCCATCCACAATCGCCGTGCTGGAGCTCATGCTCCATCCTATGCGTGCAAGCGTGGGCGCGAGAACTTCCATGGGCCATCGGACCCCATCCCAAGACATCTTGTTATTCAACTTGTCTTGTAGGGCCATCCAGCCCCTTTGGTAGTCTTCCCAGAGACACCCTCTGGTCCCATACGAAACTGCAGTAGGCCTTCAGGGGCTCCTGCGTGACATGAAATATGGCTCATATATTATATCCTTCTGGATAGCCAATACCAATGTCGGTGAGTTCTGACCAGAGCTACGTCCACAAAGCGCGCCAGCAATATTTCGCAGACTGGCCACTCCGACGGGGTCGCCCCTGCCACTGCAGCGGCGTGGCCAGCAGCTGGGAGCAGTCCTGTGCGCCAAAGAGCGGTGACCTGTACACCCGCTCCTCGTCGCAGCATCTGAAGGCATGGGAGACGAGCACGAAGAGACTTCATCCTGGCATGTGCCTGCTTCCGAACTGGACGGGCCCCCGGCATCTCATGTCCAAGGTTTCTTATAGATTTGTTGGCCGACAGGCGCAACTTCTCAGCTCGACCTTGGAACTCTTTCTCAACGTTTTCTTCGCATTCGTCACGAAACCTGACTTCTCGAACCTAATGAGCATGCCTAACTCGCCAGCGTCCTGGCTAAACATGTGCACCGCGCGCTGCAAGTTGGCTGCTTCTGACATGTTGTTACCTGTCCACTGAAAAGTGCTGTCATCTACAAGCGCACGTGGCATGACATCATTGCACATGTTGTGCACTCTCTCGATCGCTCGATATGTTAGCACCGTCAACCGTGTCGTGGCATGTGCGCATCCTGCACGTATGCCTTGCAGCGTCCTCGTCGGAATACTCCAACACCCATATGCACGAATGACTCTAGGCTGCGCGTACGTCTCCAACAGCAGCCAGATCAGCCGAAGGGGAAATGACATTTTCTGTGCCTCCGTCCTGAGTGCTGGCAAAAACACCGTCTCGAAGCATTTCCACATATCCACTACAATGGTAATCGCATGCTCTCCCCAATGATGCGCTACGTCAGCCTGTAAGTTGTGCTCAGATGCTGCATATGTAGACGAATAGCCTCTACGATTTCCCATGTGTGTGGACTGGGATGTGCATGCAACCACTTCTGTGATATGGGCCTACGCACTCGTGACCATACTCTAACCATACTTCCAATAAGTGTTATGACTCGCCCCCCCATCAGGTTTTGCTATCCTTACCAGTTCATGTATGATACAATATAATGGCCATATCAGCATACGTTCACAAGCCATGTACAGCGTTCCCGAGACAGCCAGGCCCTCGCCCGAGACGTACCAGAAATTCCTGGGGTGGATCCTCGTGTAGCCCACAGAGGTCTTCCATGGAAAGGACAATACAGCATCCCTGATGTCCTGGACCTGGATGAAGGGCAACTCGTCCCATCCCCCTGCTCCCTGAGGTAATCCATACACTCCGTATCGTGACACGTCCAAACCTCCCTCCACCTCCACACCTCGTCATCTGCCAGTTAAAACGGTTGCATGCGAGATGTGCAAGGGATGGTGGCCGCCAGCGCCCGAGTCTTAGAAGCTCTGTGCGCCTCGCCAGCGCCGTTCAGAAGCGCCGTTCTGGCCCAGCTCTTCCAGTCTTGCTCACTTTTCTGCTGGACCTTCTGTGCGAACTCATCTGCACGTTCGATTATGCCAAAGGCCTTGTTCTCAAATTCAGAATATGTGAAAGAATCAACTCCACCCTGGAAGACATCACGCGCCTCTGGCTCCAGACATTGCGAGAGGAGGAGGAGGAGGAGGAGGAAAAAGAGGAGGAGGAGGAGGAGGAAGGAGGGGCGAGAAGGACGCACAAGGAGTATGAGGAGGAGGAGGAGGAGGAGGAGGAAGAGGAGGAGGAGCTAGCGGGGAAAAGCAGCAAGGGGAAGGAGGAAGAGGAGGAGGAGGAGGAGGAGCAGCAGGAGAAGGAGGGGGGGGGGAGAAGGAGGAAGAGGAGGAGGAGGAGGAGCAGAAGAAGAAGGATACGGAGGTGGAGGAGGAGAAGGAAGGAGAGCGATGAGGAGGAGAAGGAGCGAGGAGGAGGAACGAGGAGGACGAGGAGGAGGCGAAGAGAAGAAAAGTGGGGGAGGAGGAGCAGGAGGAGGAGGAGGCGGAGGAGAGGAAGAGAGGAGGAGGGGGGGAGGAGAGGAGGGGAGGAAGAGGAGGCGGGAGAGCAGGGAGGAGGAGGAGGAGCGAGAGGAGAGAGGATGAGGAGGAGGAGGAGGAGGAGGAGGAGAGGGAGGAGGAGGAGCGAGCGAGGAGGAGAGGAGTAGGAGGAGGAGGAGGAGGAGGAGGATGAGGAGCGAAGAGAAGGAGGAGAAGGGACGAGGAGGAGCGAGGAGGAGAAGGGAAGAGGAGCGAGGAGGAGCACGACGACGACGACGCGAGGCACGTCGGCGTTCTTGGGCGAGGCCTGCACGCGGGCGGCGCCCTGCCACGGCGTGCCCACGGGCGAGCCGCCGGCCGCCGCCGGCGTCCACCTCTCCGCGATCCTTCGGGCGGCGCCGTCCGCCGAGGGAGGGGGAGGAGGAGGAGGAGGAGGAGGAGGAGGAGGAGGAGGAGGAGGAGGAGGAGGAGGAGGCGGGGGGCTGTTTTAGCAGGCAGGCTGCGAGGCGAACCCCGCCCGAAGCGGCAGCAGGCCTGCAGCCTGCCTGCTGCACGCTGGCCTGCAGGGGCCGCGCCTCCCACCGCGCGCGGCCGGCCCCGAGGGGGAGAGGCGGGTGGAGCGGTACAGTCAAAAACCCTAATGAGGACGCGCGGTAAGGACGCGAGACCCTTGGAAGCCGAAGTTGGGATTTCTGGGGCGGCGGACGACGAAAACCCCAAGGATGCAAGAGCAAGGAAGAGCAAGGACGCAAGGATACCCTGAGCAAAGTCGCGCGTCCTTATTAGGGTTTTTGACTGTATGCAGACCAACCCACCCCCTGACAACTGCCTTACCTCGTGGATGCCGCGACAATGGACACACTAGCAGTCCTACCGTTGACTTCAAGATGTGTTCAAAATATCGGAGAATATTCTAAACGTGTTTGGCACATGCTTAAAACATGTCTAAGACATGTTCAAGACATGTTTTAGACATATGGAAATGATTTGGCAACATGCTTCCTCTCCATTGGTCGTCCTCCACAAGCCTTACCCATCCAGGACCAAGACCCGCAGCTAGAGAACGAACAGGACAGCGAGCGCGACTGAAGAAGCTTACCGCGCAGGCGTGGCATCCTGCAGAGGCCGATTGGGTCCAGGGCGGAAGCTGCGAGAAGGCACGATGGTGCCAGGATCAGAAGATGGGGAGAACAGGAGGGGAGAGGATATCGGGACGTCGACGACGCCCACGTGGCTGAGCAGCCCACGCTAACGGCCCCTTCCCTGAGAGCGCGTGCGGGTGGCGCAACGGGGCTCCCCTACCACTTTCACCACCATACGCCTTGTCTCCAGGGCCTGCAAGAACAACACAATGCCGTTCGGCCAGGCGAACGTCTCGACAGACAGGAACTACTTGCCCAGCTAGATAAATCCAAAGAAATGAATGCGCTGGGTGCGCAGCGAGAAAGGGTACAAGGCAACAAAGAAAAGATAGGTCAGAGGTTGGATGGGTAAAGAACCAGATGTGCGGGAACAAAACAACCAGGGGTGGCGCTGGTCAGGTTCCTCGCCAAAATGGCGTGGGCGCATCCTGCAAACGTCGGACACCACGCTGGGGCCCTCGGGATGGCGCTGGAGGCTTTTTTCGCCCTCTTCAACTTTCGCCCCCCGAAGGCCCCTTCAGAGTGGGCATTCCTAGAAGGTATACGCAAGCCTTCGGGTGAGCAAGCCCTGTCGTGGCCGCTGAAGCGCAGATCGATCCAGCCCAGGGTGCCCTCCTATTCCACCACCTGGTCCGTCCTGGTTGGCACTCTGATAGGGGGTGAGGACGTCCAGATCCTTCACAGCGTCTGTTGAGAACCTGCACCCAGCCTGCGCTATGACCAGCACGAAAGCGCCAGGTCCGAACAGTGTGAAGCTCCTCCTCACTACCTCTTCCTCCTCCTCCTCCTCCTTCTCCTCCTCCTCCTCCTTGAATACTGTGCAGCCCTGCGTCATGTTGGTCCTCCCGCTGGCAGCATCGGCCTTGACAGAACCCGCGGCAGCCTACGCGGCCGATGAGCGCCATCACCCGGCGCCCCTGCTGGCCGCGCTGCATGCGCCACTCGGCCACCGTGCTGGCTCGGGCGGCTGGGCGCGTACACGAATACCTCATGTAGTTTCGAATTCGTACACGTCGGTCGGAAGAAGTAGGTAGAATCATGAAGTAGGAAGGCGGATCCAGTTGATTGAGTCCAGGCCCCCCCAGAGAATAACAAAACACAGCAAAAGCGCGTCGAGTCTTGAAGTAGGAAGGCGCTTGAAGTAGATTGGGATCTGGGAATCCAAAAATACCTACTTTCAACGACTGGCGTGTACATCTCGGTTCGATACACGTCAACCCTGATATCAGTGCTCTGTTCTGGAACATCCAAACTGCTGGCACACCAGTCACTCCGCACGATTCGAACGGCGTCCAACCCCTCAAAGAATCAAACTGTCCCTGCTCACCTCCTTCACTTTTGCATATGATATGTGTTTACTCCATGGTTCGTCTCTGCTACGAACAATGCGACCTGCCACGTCGCCTATTCCTTCGAAGCGTGATGGGTCCCAGGTGGGCATGTACAAGTCGATCACCATCCCTATGTCCTCCCCGCTCTTCATCCCCGTCATCATCGAGCGCAAGCGCTCAGGAAGACGAGAGTCGCCAACAATATCACCATCATGGATCCGTACAACTCGAACAGGGCTATCGCGAGCTCGTTGGAACCAACTGCATGGATCTTCAGGATGCTCTTGAACAGCGCCCGAATGGTAAAAGCCTGGAGTCGAAGACAATCCAGACCTTGGTCTACCAAACGCAGGTACCTCAGGTTCTACAACCTCACGTACTTCAGGTGAGGGTACCAGTAACAGCAACGTCCCTCAGATCGTGCCTGACTGAACACCTCCATGTTGTTGCAGCCCGAGCAGATCAATCAACGCTCTCGTTCCAAATCATGTTCGCGTGGGTCCGTGCCTCGAACGTATCCATGCCTATGTCGTTGTCCATCAGCCAATGTATGCAAGCAGTTCCTGGTCGACGTTCCACATGCTCCGCGCGGCGAAGTGTCTGCGCCAGCCCACATTCGTTGGGCCAGTGAAGCCGCACTCGTAACAGATGTACCTGCCTGAGCCGTCTGATACCACAACCTCTCTCGAATTCCTAAGCCGCTTCAGGTATAAAAAAATATCCCGGCGAAGGGCCCAACCATGTGCAGGTGAGTTGTGAATACCGCGTTGTGGGCACCGCTTTCGATGGGCTCCCTATGGGGCCACGACCCTGGCGAGGGTTATTTCAAAATGGGCAGGGGGGCGAATGCGGACCATGCCACCGGGGCCGTCGGTAGAGCTCACGATGGGCCCACATCCTCGTGTCTGGCGAACTCCGCTGTTTCTTCCATATCTACCTACCCTCTGCTGGCGCTTGCCTGCTCCGCTGTACCCGCGCCTATCGGCGCCCATGCTGTCTATACTTAAGCGAACGTCATTGTTCTGGGCCGTCATTCGCACACTTTTCGCTCAAGCACCGTTGCATCTCCTGCATCTCTCGGCAGGCAAAGTCTCGAGACAATGCGCAGATGCACATAAATCAAGATGTATCTGTCGACATGTCTCAAACGCTTGCAGCGTCTCCTCTGACGACGCATACAAACCAGAGAATTATTAACTTCGTTTGGCGGTGACGAATTGCGGAAAAACTCCCCCTCCTCCTCCTCCTCCTCCTCCTCCTCCTCCTCCTCCTCCTCCTCCTCCTCCTCGTCCCGCCTCGGAAGTTTCGGGTTCGAGGTTTTAGATATGCAAGCATGTTCGTCGGCTCTCGGCGATTCTACAGCCCCGGCATGGTCTCCGGCAGCTGCGCCTCGCCGACGGCGTCCCCAGGTTGCCTGGATCGTCCCGAGTCTCCGCTGGGAAGCCGAGTGGTGACACGAAAACCAGGAGGGCGGTCGGGCGGCGGTCGGCGGTGGCGATCGGCGGCGGGGGGA